TGTAGCTGCCTCCTGGCCCACAGTGAGGGCAAGATCAGGGCTCCAAATACAACTCTTCAGCTCCCCTCTCCCACAGTGTTCAGCTGCCTTGACCCCAGAATTGGGGGTCTGAGCTCCACAAAACATCTTACAAATTAGCAAACCTTCCTGCAAGCATCAGCACTGGCCTCTCCTCACCAGGATAGCCCCCAGCACTCCAGCTGGCTGAAGGCACTGTTACAACCACAACACCCCCACACAAGCCAGCTGGATCAGCTCAGTCATGGCTATCCCAGAGCCTGCTGCACACCAAGCCTGGAATAGGCCTCTCCTGTGTCAGCATAAGGCCAAAACCTACTGTCCCATCACAGACAGGAGCGCCAGGAATCTGAGCTGCCCAGCCTACCAGGTGGGGCCGTGATCAGACCTGCCACCCTTGCAGCACCATGTAGCTGCTGCTGCCTCAGGTTCTGCCCTTCCCTGCTCTAAGATAACACCTGGCCTTTTCTTCCCTGTGGTGCTTGGCCTCTGGAAGCAAGCTTTGGAATTTTCCTTAGCCCCAAAATACAGCCCTCCCCAACCCCCCATGCTTGGCCTCAGTATGTCCACTTTTGGTCCTCCGCCTACCTGCTGGTAGCTTCTCAGCCCCCTCATAGGCTGGTCACTATACCCACTGCTATATGAACCTCTGGCCCTGGGTCTAGTGGAGGGAGGAAGTGCCTGCAGCCTGACTCTCTTGGACCTGGTCTCCAGCTTCCTTGGGCCTCCCTGTACTCTACATAGGTGCAAACAAAGGGCAGTAGCAACAGGCAGTATGCGTCCTCCACAGATCCCCCTCTGAGCCCATGCTTGTGCCTAAGTGGGCATATCCCCACTGGCACCATCAGGAAGCACACTGCTGGCCACTGACAGACTGACAGACAGGAGCTGGCAAGAACAGAGACAGGGAGAAAGGAAGAGCCTCGGCAGCAGTCCAGGCTGGGGCAAGGGCCGAGCTCCACAATGAGGCTGGAAGGAGGATGGTTGTAGCGAATAGGGAAAGGGGATTTACTAGAACCTCCGCAGTAAGTCCTACTCTCCTGTGAGCCATGACAGCACAAGGCGAATTAATTTATTAGAAAAATAGAAAAAATGAGACTTAGATGGGCCGGGGATTTAGCTCAGTGGTTCCACCACCCGCCTCGCAAGCTCAAGGTCCTGAGTTCAATCCCCGGTACCAAAAAAAAAAAGAGAGAGAGAGAGACTTAGAGAAGAAGCTGAGCCTTGGGCCTGATCAACGCTGCTCTGGGGAGCAAAGATGAAAGCACTTTTATTCAGTAAATCAGGAGGATGTAACAGATGACTCAGGGCAGAGAGTTCAGTACACCAGGAGAGTAATAAATGTAAAAGGTGACTCAGAGGGCAGCAGCGGCAGCTGAGGCAAAAATCCTACAGCAATGAGGAACCATGCACATGAAGATTTTGTTCCTCCCAGGATGTCTTCAGCTGGTGTAATCTTGTCCTGGAGCATCACAGCATCACTGGACAACTGAGGTTTTAGCTGTGGCTGGAAGCCAAAATGGAGTTATGTCTCGACATGCCATTGCTGGCCTGTAGGCAGGAAAACTAGGCCCTAATCATAATTGTAATTGTGAAATGATTTTTCGCCAAAATTAAGTAGAATTGCTCCCGACAGTGGGTATGTGAAGCAATGCTAAGACTGCATGGAGCTGCCTGCCTGGCACCCACTTCAGTGTTCACCTTTAGGATCCCAGAAGCACACTCTCAGTTTTGTTGCTGCCACTGTTCCACAACAGCAATTCCATGGAGATGAAGGTGGAAGAGTAATGGTCCCCACTTAGGGCAGCCAAATGCTAGATGCAGAGGCTACCAAGGCAAGGCTCACCCAACCACAGCCAGGCTGTTGCACCTCCCCACACTGGGGGCCCAACAGTGCTGTGAGAGGCAGTAACTGCTATCCAGGAGAGGCTGTGACTTTTCCTCAGGATTCAGCCCTGCATGTGAGTCTCCCATCCATGCCAAGGCACTGAGACCACCGAGCACAAGGCCTGGCCCAGAGGCACCCTCTGCACTGCCAGAGGAAGCCTTCCTGCTGGCCCTGAGGCAAACCCAGAGCCAAGCATGGACCCTCTTGGTGCTGGAGCTATGGACCTAGGCAGAAGCACCTTCCCAGTGACAGTCACAACAAAGCTGAGGATGCACTTGCTGAGACCCTACCCACTCAAGCTACTGTTCATTCATTCAGTATGGAGCTCCTACAGCACCCTGGGCTAACACTGGGCTTCCCAGAACCAGACCAGGGTCTCTTCTACCACTGATCCAAGGAGTCACCTACACAGCCAACATGCTCTATTCTAGAAGCCTGTGACGGGGAGGCCCAGGGCAGGGCCACTTGGGGCTGACAATGTCATGCAAGATGAGAACAGGCTCCACCATGAGGCCCAAATGAAGCTGACTGTACTCAAGGCAGAAGCTCATGCTTTCCCCTGAGCTCAAATCCCTCCTCCCAAAGCAGCACTGAAATACCATTTTCTTCATGAATGAGGGCAATAAGGGACACTAGTGATGTGGATTTTTTAAATGTCATTACCTGACCAAATAAAAAGCTGCCAGCTTTTTTGTTTTCTTGTTTTCTCCACGTCAACTGGAGAAAATAAAGAGTTGGCAATCCCATCTTAGTCTCAAAGTTATTTTTAAAACATTAACAGTCCATGACATATTAGTCCATGACATATGCACATATTAGATAGGGTCATGGAAGGCCCCGGAAGACTGTAACAAGCCAACTAGGACTGCCTCCTGGTTAGAGATGAGCAAGAAGGGAAGGGGGCAAATGCAGTGGAGCCCTCAGTCCTCATACCAGAGCTGTGCCCTACAGATAGTGTAGGCCAGGCCTTTTGACTAGGAGGTCTCTCTGCTATATGTGGAGAGCACTCTCTTCTCTGAAGCTCTTCGCTGGGGATGCTGTCCTTCAGCTAAACCAACCAGCAGCCCAGGACCCAGATGTGAGGACCATCTCCCCGATCTCCAGTGGCCAAGGCCAGCAAATAGGTAGTAACACAAAAATTAAACACATCGCTGGAAACTATTCATAACCCTGAAAAAATGCAAAGAGCAGAATGAATCAGCTCAATTTCATCACTTAAATCATGTGAATTCAACAGCGTCCTTAGCACCCCCACTGAAAGCATGTCTTCAACAGGCATCTGATAAGGGCTATGCACATCACACCCGAGCAGGTTCCAGAATGGCATTCCCTTGAATATGATTCTACAGAACGTGTATGGATTTGAGAAAAGGCTGCCAAAGAGACACCACACGTCAACAGTGGTTCCTTAGACACCTTGAAAGTTGAAATTTCCTAAAATGGGTATATGTTACTCTCACAATCAGAAAATAATTTTATTTTTTTAAAAGAACTAAAAGGAAAATCCACAAATAGAACTGCATATAACACCTGCAGCTGGTGCACCGCGCCCCCCCCCCGTAAGAACAGTTTCTGCTACTTTTGAATAGACCTGATGCAATGACAGACACCTCTAATCCTTGCTCAGAGGTTCAGTCCACATAGCACACAGTGAAGGTGTCAGAGGACAGATCCAAGTGACAGGCATCTCAATGCATTAGGCCCAGTGAGCAGTTCTGCCAAGTGGGATAACATCATCTGTCACTACAGGCCAGGACTAGCCTGGGCCTATGGACAGCTAAGACAGCACCTACAGCATGGTCTATCTGAGAAAGCAATGGTCCCCAACCTGCCAAGGTCTGGGTGCCCACAACCCTGACCAATCTGCCAAGGACAGGGACACACTTCCCACAAGAACACCAAATACCCAGGGGCCTGGCTTAGCAGACAGCACCAGAAGCACCTCTTCCTCAGAGCCTAGACCTCATCCTGGACAAACTCGGCCCAAGGCAGGCCTAGGGGAACCCCAATGTGGATTTTGCTCTTCATAGGGGTGAATCAAAACCACAAATCCCTGCTCCAACTCAGCCTGTGTGTCCACAGGTGCATTCACACACATGCAGGGCTGTCAGTGAGCCTGGCATGTGGCAGACACATCTGCTCATGTTGGGGGGCAAAGCATGTGTGTGCTGATGCTCACACTACCACCTTAGCATATACATGTGTGTGTCTCTGCAGGCACCACTGTTGCACCTAAGCTCCAAGTTTACTGGCAGGTGCAGGCATGTATGTGCATGCACAAACAGACTGCATGTATAAGCTGCATGTGGCAACATGCAGGTCCTGAGACACAGTAGGCACAACTTGGAGTTTATCTCAAAGCTCCTGTGTGTCACTCTGTGTCACAGAGACTGGAGGCTCCTTTCCAAGGAGGTTACTGCCCAAAAGAAGCAGGAAAAGGCTTAAGGAACAGAGGCCCCTCCTCACCACTCTTACACCCTCCATATTTGGCCACCACAACACAGGCAGGACACAGAGCACCCAGCCAGGGCCAGTGCAGACCACTTATACAGCCTGAATACCAAGACCCAGCGGGCTCAAAGCTGGCTCAACTACCCTTTCTCACCAGAGCCCACCCTGAACAGGACCATCCCCCTCAGCTAAGCCTAGGCCCAAGAACCACCAAAGAAGCTTCCTGGAGCACGTTCATCAGGCCTAACCCATGTCTTCAGAGGGCTTCTCCCCTATCCCCTGGGCATGCCTGGTGTGGCTCTTGCCTCAGCCTCAGTGACCTCTGTTCTCCTACCTCTGCTGGTCTGAGGGAACCTGAGACATTCTTTTCCTCCACAGAACTTGACTGTTCACACAGCGAGTGCAGGAGGAACCAGGGGGAGTGGAGCAGGGATGGAGACAGGAGAGGAGCTAGGTGGGCACAGCAGTACACTCTGGACCTGGCTCTACCCTGCACCAAGACTGAGCCTCCATCCTGGGAGGTGGCCATGACCCAGTCTCAGAAGCTAGACCTGGGCTGCAGGAAATCAGGGACAGGAAAAGGCCATCCCACATCACCTTAGTGGCCAGGCAACCAGGAGGGAGAGGCAGGCAGCAGACTCACCATGGGAGTTGATTCAGGAGATGTTGGCTCATGTCTGCTGGCACAGCTCCAGAAGTCACAACCATCAACCTGGGTGGCTGGAAGCAGATAAAATTAGGGGGAACACAAGCTGGTTGTGTGACCTGTGAAATCAGCACCTCCAATCACTCTGGAGGCTCTCAAAGGACCCTCATATACACAGCTGCCCCATGCCTAGCCCCTGCCCTCCAGTTCAGCCTCTACAAGGTCAGGCAGAGAGGTGGGGTTGGACATCTGTCCCTGCCTGCCCTCCTACACTCAAGCTCCTCACAAGAAGGGATACCACAGCACTATGCTCCCAACAATCCCACCCTACATACACACACCAAGAGACACAAGGACTTCTGTGCCATAAAAACTAATGCTGAGAGCAACATTACTGCTTGGTGAGAAGGTGAGAGGCCCACACACTCACAGAAGTCTCAGCAGAAGTGAGACCCATCGGGCCACAAGGCAGAACAGTGCCAGTGACAAGGACAGAAGTAGTGACAGACGGCTGATGCAGATGTGTCCCAGATATGTGACAGAAGCCACATATCCAGAAACAACAGGTCCCCGGAGACAGATCACAGGTAGGAATAGGGTGATTGTTAGAAGGCCTGGGGTTTCTTTTTGGAGTGATGAAAATATCCTAGAGTTGAAAGGTGGTAAAGATTTCACAACCCTACAAATATACTAAAAACTACTGAATGGCAAGTTCACTTTAAGATGGTTAAAATGATGAAATTCCTATCACACAAATTTTACCTCAACTTAACAAAACCATAGAGAAAACATGGGGACACCCCAAATTCTGGCTGAGGATGCAGTTCCCAGGATGCTCTGATGCTACTTGGATGTGTATGGAATAACATGGCCACTACAGTGAAAATCTGCAAACCATGGACAGCAGAATACCTGCCCAACCTATGGCAGTAAACCTACCCTGGGCCTCTACAGAGAGGAAAAAAAACATGGGTCACGAGCACCCTGCATGAGAAGGTTCACAGCAGCTTTATTCCAATGACTCAAAACCTGGAAAGAGCATAAGTGGCCAGAGGATGTGGGAGGATGGACAGGCACATGTACCACATGGGGAATGGTGTTCAGAAGATGTAGGAAGATGGACAGGCACTGGGCCATGTGGTGATAATGTCCAGCAGAGGCAGGAGGACAGGCAGGTATATGTGCCACATGCATCAGTGTTCAGCTGACGTGGGAGGATGGATGAGCACAAGTGCCACAAACACAACAATGTCCAGGGAAGATGGGAGGACAGACAGGCACACGTGCCATATGGGCAATAATGTCCAGCAGGCATGGGAGGATGGACAGGCACATGCATGCCACAATACCCAGGGGACACAAGAAGATGGATGGGCACACACATCCCACACACAACAGAGCTCCTTACATGCAGCACTGTGAATCTCAGGCACATCACGCCAGACACCAGAGTACACTTCTCCAACAAACAAAAGAAACCCACAGTGTCTTTGTACTAGGCTAGGGCAGGGGAGGGGGATTTCTCAGGATGAGGCCATGCTCTGTGTCTCAGCAGGGCTATGAGTGACACAGGGGCAGGAATTTAGGATGGCACTCAGGATCTCTGCAGCTCATTGTGAATAAATTTTACCTGGAAGAGAAGTGCAAGGCAGTACACAGAAGTAAGGAGTGAGGGGTCTAGCTGAGTCTTAAGTATAGATGGTAGCCAGATATGTGAGGTCAACAGGGGGGAAGGTCAGGGGAATCTAGGGGGCAGGTATGTGGGTGGTCACTGTGCCAATCTTTCCAATTTTTCCCTGTGTTTATAATTTTCCATAATGTAAAAGAACATGGTGTGAGTTCCACCAAGGGAGTAGGGGGTAGGAGAATTAAGGTGCGAGGAACCCCTCCAAACCCTTGTGCTCTCTGAGCCTGCCCAAAGTAGCCTAGCACACAGCAAACTGTCACCTGTCTGGGTCTGGCACATGATCTCTCTCCAGGACACAGAGCCCAAGCCCAGCTCTCACAAAGTGGACTGGACAGGGTCAGAGACACACAGATTCCCTGTGTGATGCACTGGGACTCCCTGGGCCTTTCGGGTTTACAGGCTTCCAGACCTCCAGGTCCAGCTGCCACACTCACAGTAAAGGATGAGAGAGTGGTCATCCAGGCTGTCTCCAGAAGGGGGCCAGCTCAGTTCATCGCTCTGACCTGGGAAATGGCATCTGACTACCCAGTACCCACTACCCCAAGGTGGGTAATGAGTTCTGGGACTACTAAGATGACATCACCAGGGCTGGGGATTTAGCTCAGTGGTTCTGCCACCTGCCTCTCAAGCTCAAAGACCCGAGTTCGATTCCCGGTACCAAAAACAAACAAACAACTAAAAGATAACATCAAAAAAGATAGCATCAAAAGAAAGCCCAGCTTTCAGGATGACAGCAGTGACAATAAGAAGGATGGCAGGACAAGAAGCTGTGCCCATGGACTGGAGGCTCCAGTGGACACTAAAGGCAACACCTTCCAGCATGAGCGAGCATACAACCTGCCTATTTACAGATGGAGAAGCTGAGGGCAGAAGGCAGGCCATCTTCCAAGTTCATGCCACCTGCCCAAGGTCATGCCACCTGGAATAGAGGAGCACTGAGCTCTGAACTTCTAAAGAAGCAAATCAACAGTCCAATGGTGTGGGGCCACCCCTGCCCTTGCCATGCAGGTTAAGGCTAGCTAGCACAGCCACCAAAGTACAGGCTCCAAGGTCCATGCTGCCTAGGTGCTGACTATGTGATGGCTTTCCAAGGACTGGACTCAGAGCTAGAGGAGGAGCAAACAGAGCTGCCTTGAATAAACAGTCTCCTGGGAGGGGGAGGGCTCCATGTAGGCAAAGTGCTTTTCTCACAGCCACTCCTCAACCACCTGCATGAGGCCCAACACTGCAGGGCACTGGCTCACTGATGAGGGAATCCCAGGGAGCAAAGTGTGGGTACATGAGTCAGCATAGCCACCACGCTGTGCCTCACTGAGAGCCCTCTAGGAAATCTGACTGTTGCTGGCCAGCCTCTCCCTCACACAACAGACTCACAGAGCACCCCAGCCAACCCTGGATGATCTTTGCAGGCAATCATGTAGTGCTTGATATGATGAGAGGGAACAGGTTGACAAAGCTCTGACAAACAGCTGTGACCAGAAGCAGGTGTAGGTCAGATACAAATGAGCAAGAAGCAGACACAAGCAATCACACAAGGGCCTTGGGATCCAGCATTTTCATACTGCAGAGCAGGGAAATTACCTAGCAGCCCAACATTTCCAGTTGAGACCCCTCCAACATGTACAAGAGCTATAGCTCCCCATCCAGGTCTCCACATATTCCACTCTCACTTTGCCCCAGGACAAAGTTCCTGCAGCAACTCCAGTGAGGTCTCCTGGTGGTCAAGGTCAGCTCCAGGGCTCATATCCATGACCGACCTCTGAGGAGACAAAGAGGACTTTCTGTGGAAGGGCAGAAGGACTGAGGGGCTGGGAGAGCACCTACCTTCCACACAGTGAAGTTCCATAGTCATAGCCTTGTCAGACTAGGTCCTGTTGCACCCCTCATGACAAGCCCTAGAGTATACTCTCCGCCCCCAGTGCCACATGCTTCCTCTCACAAATGTCTACTCCTGCCTTGAGGAACTGTCAGGGCTCTCTTCCTCTAGAAGGCCCAGAAGTGACACCACAGGCCTCACTTCTCTCTGCTGGACCATTGGTGGCTCTCTGCACACTTCCTGTAGCTGTCACTGCACTGACACATGCAGGTAGCAAACCAAAGCTGAGCTGAGGGCAGCTGTAGAATCCCTGTGAGTGGGCAGAGCTGGCAGGGCCAATGGAGCTGACCAGCCTGCTGCCCCCCTTACTAGAAAGGAGCTGGAGATGTACAGAGGAGAGCTACATGCCCTTCTGCCAACTGCAGGAATGTCAGGAAGGTAGAGCTACAGCCAGAGTGAGGAGGAGCCAGGACACACCTGGCTCTCATCCCCAGTGGCTGTGCTAGGCCCCGGCTGAAGAAATCAAATCTGCTCTCTTGGCCTCCAAGACAAGCCCATGGCTCTATGGGGACATGGCTATGTAACACAGCAGAGAGCAGTATTCAAGGTGGAGACCCCTGTCACATGTCTCTGCTAAACACTTAACCACTCACCACTACCACCACCACCACCCCTGCCACCAACCTGAAAGGGATGCCTTCAGAGTCTGGGACATCTAATTCCCAATCTAGTTGACCATTCACACTTTTGGGTTCTGGACATTATCTGGGCTCTTACAGCCTTATTAATTTCTTTTATTTTCTTTTCTTTCTTTCTTTCTTTCTTTTGTGGTACCAGGGATCAAACTCAGGACCTTGTGCTTGCAAGGCAGGTGCAGTGCCACTGAGCTAAATCCCCAGCCCTACAGCCTCATTATATTCACCTACAAAATTGGGATAATGTCAGCTTTCCCACAAGACAAACACAGAGGGGAATGCAGAAAACATGCAGACCCTTGTCTTTTTTCTCATCTACAAAAAGAAACTAAAGAGTTATTTGTTCCAATCACTCTTTCTCTCAGCCAACACCTATGCCCAGGTGATCCCATCTACTGTAGACAAGGTGACTGTAGGGTTGTTCACCATGGGGGAATGAAGAAGAGGCAACCCAAGGAAGATAGCAGGTCACCAAGAGTCAGCAAATGAATAAGATCTAACCCAGAAGGTGACCACATGGGGTTGATTTTTACAGAGATATATGCCAGGAACAAGAATTGAAGAGTAAATGGTAAATAGAACTGAAGATTTTTAAAAAATCTAGTTCTCATGAAATAACACTGCATAGAATTAACATGTATCTGCCATAAAGGAGCTACAGGATCCAGAATTACCCTCCTCTGTAAATGGCTAGAAACTGGATGAAATTTCAGAAACAACTATCTGACACTAGCCAACACTCAGTGCACATTATAATCCTGAAAGAATAAAAGAAAAATGTGCTCAGTCCTAAGATCATACAGCTTTATGCTATAAGCAATTCCAGACTGCTGATCAAGGAGGAAGAAGAATAAAGCCCAGCAATCTCACGGGTTT